GTCCTGGGCCTGCTCACGGCGATGGGTTCCCTGGCGGCCGCCCTCTGGACAATGCTCCATCCCCAGACTCTCCTACTGGGTGCTGTCGCCTTTCTCATCTTTGCTGACTTCCTCAAAAGACAGCGGCGAAAGAACTTCCCGCCGGGGCCTTGGCGCCTGCCCTTGCTTGGCAACTTCTTCCACCTGGACTTCGAGCAGTCTCACCTGACACTTCAGCAGGTAGGAGCAGGGAAGGTCCTCTAGCTCTGTCCTGTCCCTAACTCTGATCCGCAGGACAAGGGACAATCATGGACTGAGGTGGGGGTGGGGGATGATTGGAAACTGTGGCTAATGCTTGTAACCAGGTAAACCTTGCTTTGAGCTTGATTTTCCTGTTTCCCCTACTGTCAGCTGGTATGATTAGACCTGCCCTTTTCAGGGGTGGCATATTATTAAGAGTACTAGGCATGTCACATTATTTAACTCATTTAATTGTGTGTTATCTAGTTAAACATTATTGGAACATCTTATTTATAATATGATTGCCTTGACCTCTTTTATATTATCCTTAAAAATGCCATAGTTCTAGGAAGCTTCATTTCCCATATGTAAGGTGGTGATAATCCTACCTAAATCCTCATCATTTCTCTACTAGATAACTCTCACCCCCACACTATCTGATCCCCTGCCTTCAGCCTCCTCCCCTGCAGCGCACTCTCACTGAAATAATAATTTAAAATGTTATTCCTCTGCTTAAATTTTCTCAGTGCCTTCCACCGCTTCCCAGTGTTCACACTCCTTACTGGGACGCTTGGGACCCTTCCTGACTTGGCCTCTTTCCACCTCTTTATGATCATCTATCAGGGCTCCCTGACTCTGCCCACGCAGAGTTCTTTAAAGTTCCCTCAGACATCAAACACTTTCTCAAGAATCTTCAGCTGGTTTCCCTGCCACTCAGCACAGGTCCTTTGCTGAGAGACGACGCTGACTTGTGGTTATAAAGATTAAATAAAAGAGTGAATGATTGACGTGGCTTCTATTTGGTGCACAACAGCTATCAGTCCCCTTTCCCTACACATGTCTGGGGAACACGTGACTATACACTGTTCTCAAATACAGATGTACAGATGTTATTACTCTGGGAGAAATGCCCAATTGGTAACAATAAGTGACAGGATTAGTCACAGAATTTTAAAGCTTGTCTCCTAAACCTATGCCCTTCCTTAAGAACTGAAGTTTAATTTCCAAGTATTTGGAGATTTTTCTGTTATTCTTCTGTTAGTGATTTCCAGTCTGATTATATTCTGGTCAAAGAAACAATTCTTTTAAATTTATTAAGGTTGATTTAATGACACAAGATGCAGTCTTGTGTATGTATGTATGATACGTTTAT